TAATACATGTGAAGAAAATTGTTGTTTGTTTTATTTTTTTGTTTGTTTCGTTCATAACCTTTTAAAATAAGGCCCCATTAGTTAATGCATTAACTAACATTTAACTAACGATAAGCGATATTTTGTTTAAATATTTATTATTATTCATTTACTTTTGTTAATAAAAGTCCATTAAATAATATTAACCTATAGAACTTAAAATTTTTATAATGTGTTAATGTTGAAAATAATATGAGCCAAGGTTAATAATTTCATTGTTAATTCGTGTTAACTAATGCTAACAAATGGAACCTAATTTAAGTGTTGGCGTATTTTTGTTGTTGCTCCTGTTTTATCATTTTATATGATTTTATGTTTAAAAAAAATAGAGACATTTTTAAGCGGTATTGCTGCTTCGCTGTTTTTAAGCAACATTTAATCATCTGTTTTATACTTTCAAAATATGAGATATTGGGTAACTCTTTCTTTTAATGATATGTATGCAGAAAGATTTTTCAGTATACGTTCTGAGAACTGTATTACACTGATGACTTCAGAGTAATGAGAGAGCGCTGCGTTGTTAGAGGGCGTTTCCTTCAATTGATTCAGAACTCTTTACAATAAAAGCAGGACGTCTCCTAAGCTTTGTAGAGGTGCACCCCTTGATGAAGATATGCCTCCAATTACCATCGCGCCTTTGAAGGTTTACATGAACCCCCCAGGCTGCTCCAGCCATGTTTATGTGGTATAGCGTGAGCCACTTTCGATTAAAAGAGGAGGAAAAAAAAAGTGTCAAATAAAGCAATTCACCTTAGGCTATTCTATAACATAAGCGCTGGTGGGACCATTGTAACTTAAATGTGTTGAGGCTTCCAGTTATTTTTAACTATACAAAAACTGTCCGTTATGCTGCTTGTTATTTTTGTTATTCCTCAAGTTATTTACTCTATAGCAGCAAATAAATCATAAAACTCTTAAAGGGAAACTCCACTTTTTGGAAACAGGCTCATTTTACAACTCCCTCAGAGTTAAACAGTTGAGTTTTACCGTTTTCAAATCCATTCAGTCGATTTTCTGATATTTAGAAGAATATCAGTAACCAGACAGTTTCTGGTCTCATTGACTTCCATAGTAGGAAAAAAATATACTATGGAAGTCAATGAGACCAGAAACTGTCTGTATACAAATATCAAAAAATTGTCTGAATACATTCGAAACGGTAAAACTCAACTGTTTAACTCTGGGGGAGTGGTAAAATGAGCCTATTTCCAAAAAAAAGTGGAGTATCCCTTAAAAAAATTAGTTATTTAAGTTATTTATTATTCTCGCTCATGTAATTCGAAAGAGAGTTTTTGAAGGAGCTTCTTTCCATACAATGACACTGACCATGCCTGTCATGCTCCAGTAAGGAAAAAATGTGCCATAAAAGTACTATATACTGAGGCCCTTTCACACTAAGAATGATAACCACAGATATAGTTCTGAAAATCGTTCTAAATATAAAGGAATAGCAGTCCATACCACAACTATAACGATGACGGCACAGTGAAACAACATGTCGGAATCACTTTCAGAACAATTTTTCCTGCAGATTAAAACATTAACACTGAATGCATCCTACTTTAAAGAGCTCATGCATTTAAAGCGGCATACGGCGAAACTGCAGCACGAGCTTATAGTACAGAACAAGATCGTCCGCTGGCGTGTTCGCTAATATAGTTATCATTATTGTTATTGTTCTTTGTGTGAATGGGCTTTTACTCTTAATATCTGTCATAAAATAACAAATAATCTATAAAAGTACCCTTAAAGACAAGTAGCCCAAGCAATTTCTGCACAATAAAGTCTGTTTTTGTATATTTATATATATATATTTATCTTTTTTTTTTATTTACACTTGTATAAGGTGTAGTAAAATTTCAGAACTTCGGCAGAGGGGAAGATTTTCAGTCAATGGTGACTCAAATTTCTATTTATGATACATTTTTAAATTGTTATATGGCTTCAGAAGACTTGTGTACAAGTTGCTTGGGCTACTTTTATGGTGTTTTGTTTTTTTTCTTTTTTTTTAGTTTTACAGATATTATTATTGCTACTATAAATTTGTATGGGGGGAAAGGTCAGCAGAGATTTTTTTTTTTTTTCCTTTTGTGAAGACATACACTGTAAAAAAAAAACAATCCGTCAAATTTACGGGAAAACCCTGGCAGCTGTGGTTACCAGTTTTCCTGTAAAAAATACGCTAGCAAAATTTTAGGTTTTACACTTTCAACTGTATTTAATTTTACAGTAATAAACCGTATTTCATTATCTGGTATAATGTTAATTTACTGACCTTTTGAAGTTTTAATATCTGTTTTGTTTAATTGTAATACACTGACAGCCAACAATCACAGCCGTAATTAGAGTCAAATGACCAATTACACAATGTTTGTGTGTCATTCACACAAACATTAAACACCATCATGGTAACATGTTGAAATTTTTAAAAATGCAATAAGTATTAATTTAACAACATTAAATGTAACATAAAACCCTAATGTACATAACTGATTAGAAAAAAACGAAGAAAATTATGAAGAAACAGTTCAAATACATTAAATGTGAAGTGTCACGCAGGGAATTGTGGGAATATCAATTTACGTTTTTTCACTGTAAATTATACAATGACTTCTTTTTAACTTCCAAAAACTGTAAATTTAACAGTATTTTACAGTAAAATTACATTAAATGTACCCTTATATATATCACAGTTATTTACCGTAAATATTAAGGAAACTTTCTGTTAACCAATTAACAGTTTTTCACTGTAGCATTTTTACAGTCTTTTACTTTTAAAATCACGATCATTTTTTACAGTGTATAAGTGTTTTGAATGACATGAGGATGTGGATGTTATGGAATGTTGACATCCAGCATCAGGACACGTTGGATATTTGCGTTAGCGGTTTTAGTTTTAATTGCCCTTACATAACGACAATAGCACTGCTGGCAAAACAAGACTCCTGTCAAAAGCTGCTGGTTCATTCTTGCCTGTTGTGAAGGGAAAGCAAACGAACAATATTCTGGAAAAGGAGCTTCGGGCTTCCACTGAATTGTTCTTATCCTGTTGCAGGAACTTTCTGTCATGAAGCAAGTCCTTATTAGCATGCGCTCACAGCAGCACGGTGGACCTCTGTCTCTCGAGGCCGATGGTACGGGGACCGCAGTTCATAGACCCAAAGCTGTAAAAAGCACAGATGAGGAGCAATACAACAATGGGCCCAAACCCACAGTGTTTGTAAGTTTTACTTGCCTATCCACAAAGAGAGCCTTTCAAACAGCATGTTAGGGCAAATAGTATCTCCTCTGAGAACCAAAAAGGAACACATTTTAAAGTTATTTTGAACAACTGATACTTGGACAGAGATTCACTTCACGTTGACTTTTACAAGTTTAATAAAATGTTTTACTCAAAGCAAAGTCCAAATGAATTGTCAATGATATTTAACACTGCTGTTTTTTTTTTTTCTTTTCTTTTAACAGACCAATAAAGAAGTCCCAGAATGGTATAGAAAAGTCAAACGGAAAACCAAGTAGGGACTTGTTCAACTTGTTTAAGAGTTTTATGGATGCTCCATGTCATGCAATCACTGATAAACTCTGTTTAAGTTGAAGACCTATTACATAACTCGTTACACAGGTTTGGTGTGTTATTGAGACCTAAAACTATGATTTAATTTAATAGTAGCCTAATAAACCATTGTATGTTGTACAATAAGTGTGTGAATGTTTTTATTGAATTTGATTTTAATTTTAAAAAAGTAAATCAGGTTCTTTAAACAACAGTCTCTTAATTTAAGCATTTGTATTCTCTATACCCTGTAAAATAGCTCAGTAGAGTGTATTATTCGAATGGTAATAAATCTGTATCCTTCTGTTTTGATCCGTAAAATGTGAGACACTGTTGATAAAAATAGAGGAGCGTGTGCATACCTTAATCGCAGCGGCATTGCGCGCTTATTTGTGTCATCTTAAAGTTACACACCACAGGCTCGAATGTCCAACAAGAACAGCGGTGAGCTGCATGTTATTGATGCATTTCATTGATTCAGTCTGCTTGAGATGGATATTTTTAGTTGCATGTTGTTACTTTTAAATTAGAAATGATGGTAAACATTTGGATCATTTATTGTTTTTAGGCCTAACCCTTGTTCCCCAGCTTTAAATGGGAAGCACTGGCAGACACATCTTAGCATTTGTACCTCATTCAGGATTCCAGTTCCATTAACGATTATTTTAGTGATTTCCAAAAGAAATGAGATTTTTTTCAGAATCAACTTCAAGAAATCAGAATCAAGAGAACTTTATCAAATCAAAAATAAATTGAACAGTTCCTCCACAAAATAGAGAAAACTATTAGAGATCGAATATGGACCTGTATGCATTAATAAAAATACAAAACAGGTTGAAATGTGTAAACATTAATTAATTCATGTTCGTTGAATAGCTCATAGCAAATGTTATAAAAGTGGCCTATTTTTAAATACACGTCATCTATAGTAACGTTATAGTGATATTTGCATTCTGTACGCGAGTAACTGATTCACAAATCCAGTAAGATTTTCAGAAGTGTTTTGATTCACTAAAAGAACCGGCTCATAAGATTTGGGAATCAGACCCTGGCCACGGTGTATGTTGTTGAATCACTTAAAAGAACTGGTTCACAAATCATTCTTTGGGGAATTGACTGAATAAGAAGAACCCTTGTAGCTAATGAACTCTTCACTGGCTTATCTGATAGAGCTATTTTGAATAATTTTTAAATAATGTTATCATCACAAAATTAACTTTGAATTATAAAAATAACCGACAATTCGAAAACATTACCGCTGCTATATTGGCCTTATTCTGCACTACCGTCGTTATTTAAATGCTAAGGGGCATTACGTAGGGCTGGACATAGCTCCGGCTGTTTTGACGGGCTTGTTCCGCTGTTACAGTAGGCTATCAGCAGTAGTAAAGGTGTAGCCGTCTCACTTTCTCAGTCCCTGACAGAGTCCGACCCCGCCCTTTCAGCAATTATAGGCTACATATATCCCGGAGCTCCAGGAACGGAGCGAGGCAAAACGGGATATTACTACCAAAGCGCGCGCACATACACGCACGGGTGTCATTCCATGCACCATACACTCACTTCCCCTTCCTCGACGTCTATCAAAATACATTTTGCGGACGCTCTCTCCGTCACATCCACGGGTTTATGGCCGCTACGCTTCTAACGGTGAGCGCTGCGCTCGCACCGGGACAAGATGACTTTCTCTCGCTTCTCAAACCCTCACTATCCGACGGCTTTCAGGAGGACTCCTCTCTGTTTTCATTTGAAGCCAAGAATCCCGATACGGAAAGGGGCTTATCACACGACTATTGTCAGGTAAATTGTTTTTTATCAGTTCTCTGAATGGTGCTCTCGAAGACTGTATGAATTAAAGATCATATGCCTCAGTCGTGTGAAAGGTGGGCCATTAGATGATGCGGCATGCTGCACGCCTGCAGTCCCATCAGCATCATGCCCCATTAAATGCGTTCAGCGATGTGCAATTCTTTCATTTAAGGAACTTTTCTAATTCATAGTACTAGGCTACATTTTATAAAAAACAAAATGCGTTTTTAATAGAAAATAAATAAATAAAATAGACATAACGATACAGTTTTAACGATAGCTGAAATGTTGGATTTTCAGATTCTTAGAATTTGTTTTATTTTGTCCCTCATCTAGATTTTTCAAATTTGACATCCTTCAATACACGCTGCATTGTGATTTTACTTTGCACTTTACCATGATAACTTAAACATATGCAGCCTTTACTCAATTGTGTGTACAATTTATTTTTTTTAGAACAACCTAACAGTCATTATTAGCAAGTACGTTATAGAGAAACAAAACAAAAATTGTGCTCATTTAACACACTGCAAAAAAAAAAAAAAAAATGCTGCCTTAAATTGCTTAGCTTATTTTGGTGAGTTAAAGCAATATAAAAAAAAATCGTTGTCATAACTTATTGATTATATCATTTTTCAGTGTAAGTTTTTTCTCTCTCTCTCTCTCTCTCAACTATATGTTTATCATTTACATCATATCAAACAGAGTTTTTTCTACGTCCAGCTTGTCATTTTAAAGTATGTTGTTATTGAATGTTTGTTGACTTCTAGATAACTTCGCGAGTTCAGTGCTTAGCTTATCCCATGTTCTCCAAATAGTAAACAAACAAACAAAAAACATTACCATAGCCGTCATTACTGTCACACATAGCATAAGCCGAGTTTGAAGAATCAACACTGTTTTGTTCAAGATTTCAAATTAAAAGCGTCCTCAGTTGTATAATTTTCCATTATGCGCTTCAAAGGTATTTGGTGATGTTTTTTGGGGGGGTTTCCCCGTGTCTGTAACGCAAGGGAGAGTCTGGGCTGGGTCGGATAGCGCACAGGCTCATGTCAGTTGCTTGCAGTTGGTTTCTTGGCTACCGAACCGTCAACAACTGACTCTCCTCCCTCCTTCCTCACCCACGCGCTCTGCTCTCGCGCTCCGAACTCAAACTTCCCAGCAACGCTGAGCCTCAATCTGAAAACTTGTGAAAGAGATACATGTCCGGCGAACAGCTGGAAGATCTAAATCCAGAAATAGCTATGCGTAGCAGCCGCGTAAAAGAGCACTTAAAGAGCTCTGGCATTCCGAGTGTATGTAGGTTATTATGTGTGTGTGAGTGTTTTTATTTTCCCTCGTGTTTATTCCTCTAGTGAGATGTTACATTCAGGAGGGCGTAATGAATGAGTCTTGATTTATTATTTTTTGCTGATTATGGTTTTGTGATAATTGGTTGGCATTTATGTGGAAAGCCTGAGCAATCTCTCCAGCATGCTTTCCACCTGTCAGCAAAGTCTGTTTTGAGCTTGTGGTATGAGCGCTGTTTTACAGTCTTAGGTGGAATGTAGCAGAGACATATCGAAGACTTGATAAATGCTTTACCTCTGACTGCTTCATACAGCAACACAACCGCTTCGTGCTCTCAATATATGCTTGATCACAGATCAGGTGTCCTGATCAAGTCCTGATTTTTAGGTTTCACATCTTCACACAAAGATTTTGCATATACCTGCAAAATTTCTAAAATTGGTGGTAGGCCTATCTCATGATGTAGGTAATGCTGTTATAGCCAATAAACATTGTACAATGGCAATTTAGATGAATGTTTACTTAAAATTTGTTGGGATCAATTATTTATTATTAATTGTTAAGATTTAAAGACTGGGGAAAGTGACCTGTTTATCGGCCAGCAGACATGGTTATTGGTTACCTCAAAATATCTCAGCCTGGCCAATAAATTGGTTCATCGCTTGATTTACATGACGCATTTCGCTTTACCTGATCCAACTTGCATGTTCATGTAACATATTGATATTCATATTTCTAAAGAATTTTAGGTTTCTTATTAGTATTATACATAGATTAATTGACTGCTAGCTTACTTGTTGTGTTAGCAATTCCAATACAAAAAAAATGTCATTACCATTACTCATAACTGTCGTCGCACATAACATAATGAAGAATTATCATTGTTCAAGATTTCAAGTAGTCAAAGTGTCCTCAATTGAAGTGGAAGTAAGTGAATATGCGGAAAATACTCCGCCTGGCCGATAAATTGGTTCGTCGGTTTATTTTTACTTGTTCCAACATGCTTTTCTATATTCATATGAGGGATAATTATATTTTTTTAATCCATTGTTTCATACAGCAGAATAAATGCTAAAATGCGTTTTCTATTATTATGCTTAATATATTTATATCGTAAGTAGTCCATATATTTTTACTCCAAGCCAATTTGGCTTAGCTGAGTTAGCAGGTTGCCCATTGTTGTAAGAGTCAGTGAATATTTGCATTCGTGCAAGCTTTTCTAAAATTTTATGTATACTGTCTGTGTTGGTGCTCCGCCAACACAAGCAGTCCCAGGAGATCTTGCCAGCTTTGCTGACAGAAGCAGCGTATGCAATATTCCAGTAGTTATTATTCTGAAATCTGTTTACCTTGTTTGCATTTAATGGCCTTTCCAACTGAATTTACAATTTTATGCTTCTCTCTTTTGCTCTCTAGGCTAAATTAGAGATGGATAAATATCTGTCTCCACAACCTATGGCGCACCCCGACTTAAAGAAGTCAAGACGAGAGAGCATCTCTGTAATGGACCAGTTTTTTGGAGATGACCACTGTTCCCCCTACAGCATCAACATGAACGTCTTCCTGCCCGACATTGCGTACCTAAGAACGGGCTTGTGCCGGCCAGCACGGCCTTCGGTCCCCAGCCAGGTCAAAACTGAACCGTTAGCGGCGCCTTTCGCTCATCCAGAGTGTCCAGTGAGCGCGACCGGCCCTCCTCCATCCACGCTACCAGATTTCACCAGCATCTTTAACGCAAACTCCACTTCAGGCTCTGGAATGGACACCATGGACGATAACGCCGGGGTCTTTGTCAAGCAGGAGATGCAAGGCTTTGACATCCCTCAGGATGGGCCACTCTTCCAGCTCCTCAACTCGGACCTTGACGTCCCCCATCAAGCCGATTCTCACGCTCATTCTGTGCCCGCGCAGATGCCTACTTTCCACGACCTGCACTTAGCGACCCAACAGACTGCTTCCAAATCATACTGTGGCATGTCCTCTGCCGGGTACCATCTCGGCCACGGCCACTTCGTCCATCCTCAGGGCCAGGCTCACTCGCAGCTCAAAATGCCCTATCTTCCCCCTACGCCTCCCACTTCAGAACCTGGCAGTCCTGACAGACAGAAGGAACAGCTTCACAATCTGACACCGCCGCCATCTTACGCCGCCAGTATCGCCTCCAAAATGGCTGTCCATGCACCCAGTCACCCAACCCACACCTCCACACGACCTTCCGCGACCAACGAGTCCATGCCTGTCCGTTACAACCGAAGGACAAACCCAGACCTCGAGAAAAGGCGGATACACCACTGTGATTTTCCAGGTACGGAGAATTTACAAATCGTTTCAGCTGAACTTAAATGAATCATGTTGAGGTAATAAAGCCAAATTCACAAGATGCTCTTGTGTTTTTACGGAGCACAACACTGCTTTCTTACTCGCACGCTTGAATCCACTGTTAAATAATTCAGAGACGGGCAAAGCCTTTTAACCAGTGCTCAAAACGAATGCCAAAGAGTTGACGTCAGGCTAATTGTTATTGAATCCTGTTGCATCAAATTGACTGGGCAAATTGTAAAACAGACAAGCCTCACAGTGCCATTAATAGTGCATTTACTCTAAGAAGCTGCATGTCTGAAACAACGTGCTTCGCAATTAAGAACCCATCACTGCTTTTCTTCACTGAGTGGGGTTTCACTGCTAACGACATGAGATGGGCTTTGGATTCCTAATTGGAAAAGAAAGCATATTGAAACCAAAGAACAGGATGCTCTTGTTTGTGACTGTGGTGATGAGTGAACCAACTGATTTTGTGTTGGTGACTTAAAAGAATAAATTGCTCTCTTGTCGTACTTAATATATATATTTTTTTTTTATCAATAGCCTCCCAGCATTTTTATATCTCAAGACATTAAAACTATCTTGTCATTCTGTTTATGCACAGACAAGTGTTAAGCCTGTAGTTTCAGTTTAACCATTGTTTTGTCTCAAGATGGACACCCGTAATGTGTTTTTTTTTCCCTAAGGCACATTTATAAAAGCTATATAAATATTTCATAATTTATATTATCAATAGCCTCCTAACATTTTTATCTCAAAAACACTCTTGCCACGCTGTCAATGCATCAAAAAAAATGATTGCATTGTTTTTAAAACTTATCATTTATAAATTAATTATTTTCACAATGAATAATATTTTTATTGATAGCCTCACAACCATTTTATACAGTCTCTACAATTATTAAAATAATAAATATTTAAAATGATTTTATAAACACTCTCCCTATATAGCCTTCCAACATTTTTTAAACACTCAAATGTTTTATACTGTTGTGAGTAACAAAAGCTGTTGTATGTTTTTAGGTTGTAAGAAAGTTTACACCAAGTCGTCCCACCTGAAAGCTCACTTGAGGACACACACTGGTAAGAGTTCTCCAATTAAAAATGGTTTTATTTATGCTTGATAAAGCTGCCCTCCTATTTTGGCACTTTACTGTCATGTTGCTGGGCAGAAGTGCGTTGTTGGCATGCACATGCATTCATTCTTGCACGATGCCTGAAAGCTATCCTGCGCCGCTTCCTAATATGAGATTGCACCAAAACCATGCCCAAATACATCAGCAGGAACAGCCTTTTATACTTCCTTTTTCCAATATTTGAACGACCTCTTGGCAACATTTGAATATATCAGTCGTAGATTTGAAAATTTAGCATTGCTCTCTCTCTATATATAAAATATATATATTTGGAGATACACATTTAGTATTTGAATGGAAGTAAACAGAAGAGCAGACCTCATTTGACCCTGAGGAGTGAATCTGAATATTCATGAATTCCAGAACTTGGCCTTTGGCATGTTAACTTAATAAACTGATAAACCACTGTACTTATCCGGCCAATCAAAAGTTTGTAGATTTTTCCAGCTATAGATTTATTTTTTTATGTCACCAACGTCCTAAGCTTAATTACTCGCTCATACTGCCTGTAAAGCACTATTACGATAAGATAACAACACCCACAAGTCTTGACATGGCATGATTTAGTCTTTTGAGTTTTTGTTTTACAATAAAAATGAAACGTCACTGAACTTATTTAAGCTGGACTGTGATTCTATTTTCTTCTGGAGACAAACTTATTTGCATTATTTTCCTGTTATCTCTGTAAAGCTGCTTTGAAACAATCTGTGTCGTAAAAGCGCTAAATGGGACTTGACTAGACGTGTTGCTGTATTCGAATAAACAACATGTCAAAATAAGATTTACAATTACAGTGCGGGTGCTACTTTAAATTCATAATGAGTTTAATAATGTCTTACACTTTTTCTGTAAACACGATACACAATATTGCTTAAAACACACACACACACACACACACACAATAAAAAGAAAATACAATACGGTTACGATACTGTTCAAAAGTTTGCAGTCTATAAGATTTTTTTTTTTTTAAAGTCTTTTATCTTAAAAATACCGTAAAAACAGTAATATTGTAAAATTATAATTTTACTAAAATCTAAAATAACTGCTTTCTATTTTAATATATTTAAATATATTTGTTATATATTTATGTTGTGTGTATATATATATATATATATATATATATATATGTTAAAAATAGTTGTGCTTCTTTTTCTTTTTTCTTTTTCTTTTTTTTTTGGTAATCTTGATACATTTTTATTCAGGATTTTTTGATGAATAGAAAGTTCAAAAGAACTGCATTTATTTGAAATAGAAATCTTGGTAGCACTATACAATAAGGTCCCATTACTTAACGCTAGTAAATGTGTTAACTAACATTAACTAGTAGAGTAGAAATACTAGTGTTCATTGTCTTTATCTGCTCAGGTCCATTAAAAACTATTAACCGATACAACTTTTGATCTTAATAATGTATCAATAAATGTTGAAATTACCATTAACTATGATTTAATAAATTATTTAGAAGTATTTTTCATGTGAACTAATATAAGTAACTACAAATGGAACCTTATTCTAAAGTGTTACCGAAAACCTTTGAATCAATATAAATGTCTTTCCTGTCACTTTTGTTTAATTAAATGCATCCTTGCTGAATAAAAGTATTATTTAGTTAAAAAAAAATACAAAACAAAACACAATTTCCAGATAACAACTTAAGATTAAATCCAATCCAACCAGTCCCTGAAGACAAGAGATAGGCCTCAGGCTGACGAACGCATGAGATGCGCAATTCAAACAAGTCATTACAGGATCCCTGTTCAGGGCTCTCCTCACAAACGTTAAAGCTCAAGACAGGCACATGTTCACGTTTTTCTAGGTAATTGTTTTTGAGCACCACACCCACTGCATGATTGAAACAGCTGAACACGCAGTATCACTCTTTATAGTCCTTCGGCTCCTATTATCTATTACTTAAAAGGCTATAGCCCAAATGAATGAAAACATTGTGATGAAGTTTTCAGTGTGTTATCATTTGCACTGATAATTCAAATAATCTAAACAATAATTGAATTACTTGAAGCACTTCATGTTTACAATAATGCACAACTCAAAAACTAAATCTCAAATCAAATAATTGTCGTCATTTATTCAGCGTCACGTCTTTCTGAACCAGCGTCCAGTTGTTGTGTGTAACACAAAGAAATTGTTGTTGAGTCAATGTGGTCCAATGTTGCTTTGAACCCCACTGACTTTCATTGTATGGACAGAAAAATTGAACATTCTTCAAAATATTTTCTTTTGTGTTCCATAGAATAAAGTAAGTCTAGGTTTGGAACAACACGAAGATCACAAAATGTTCAATTTTGAGCAAATTATTTTATACAAGGACACAAAATACGTCTAAATGGAAGATTTGCATTTTTTTTATTTCTTTTTACTACTGTATCTGTCATCGACTATCCGAATTTCGAGCTTTGAAAGGCTTGTAATGCATGTGTCGAGCTGGCAGGATTTTCCGAAGGGATTAACAATCCGACTTGATTTCAGGAGGAAGACATAACCTTGTCGTCTTTTGAAAAACACACTTTAAATCTTCTAAACCCGAGTTCTAGAAAGGCAAACATTGTGCTGCTATTTGTGGCCGACAATGAGTTTGGTCTTGTCAGCCTCCACGAACATACCAAAATCCTGAAATACTTTAATCTTAGAGATCGAGATAAGTGAAGTTTATTAGGTAGGTCCACACCTCTCGGTATATGTTTGTTATGGTTACTAGCAATGACGGAGAGAGAAACGCTACCCACACAGATTACTCATTTAGTATTACTAATGTATTAGTGAAAAGAAACTTGTTTCTTCCATGTTCTAGTGGTGACTCCATGTGCTTAGCCTTAACTTGATGTCCATTGTGTTCTGTGTTCAGGTGAGAAGCCGTACAGGTGCACGTGGGAAGGCTGCGACTGGCGGTTCGCACGTTCCGATGAGCTGACGCGTCACTTCAGGAAGCACACCGGAGCCAAACCCTTCCAGTGCGCCGTGTGCAGCCGCAGCTTCTCTCGCTCCGATCATCTCGCCCTGCATATGAAGAGGCACCAGAATTAGACACAAACACACACTCGCTTATTATTATGCACATGAAGTGATAACTGAACAACTTATTTCTTTCTCTACGCCGCGACGAACCTTATAACGTTTAGGGTAAACTTATCTCTCTGACCTGTCGAGAGTGTTGAGCTGTTGACTGTAAACTGAAAACACTTTTGATATTGCCATGAAAGCCAATTTCTTGTGGTACCTTCAGATATAACGCCCGTTCCTTTTTCATCTCTCTTTCGGATGTATAGATCAAGTTTCCTTTAAGCGTAATGAAACACAGGATTCGTTCTTGTACATCTGCAAAGCACTTAAACACATCTCCCATTTAATTTGCACTTGAATTAGACTGGAAATATGAATATATATGTATGATAAATACTTATATCACTGGAATAGTTACTGCTCATACTGGGGTTTCAAGTACACAGCCTATGCTGCGATTCCCTCTTTTTCGTTGCTGAAGTATTTATAGCTTTGAATGATAATGTGCTGCTACTGAACAGCAATTATTTCATGAATTATTAAACAATGGTATAGAAAAGCAATGAGAAGTGGAAGAGGGCTTTAGACAGCTGTGTGATTTGTAGAGTCCCCTTTATACACAGAAGCATGCCGACCGTTTGTTTTCCCACTGTCATTGATGCATAAGCTCATATGAATGTACGAGACCACAGTGACTGTTCCTTTAAAATAATGCCTTTGGATCACATTTCATCTTAAAGTGCCTTTTCAATGTTTGTTTTTATCAGCAGCACATGCTAGGACTTCTTGTTTATAAAAAGACAGTCAGTAAACGCAGCAGGTTGCCGTTAATTCACTATTACCACAATTCGGCCACCTTTCATAATTTATAGAGAGGGTTAAAGTATCATCTGGTTCTTTCTTGTAAAATCAATGTATTTATTGCATTGGCTTTGTGAAGTGGAATTTGACAAGTTTTATGTAATTGAAATGCCTTAATGTAAATACTATGACATTTTATTGTAAATATTATTTTGAATTATTTTCTTTTTTTTTTGTCGTTGAAAAAGTAGGGCATCATATTGCTCTGGTTTTGGCTGTGTGACTATTTGTATTTCTTTGATTTTTTTTTATATTTCACTTAATCTTATTTTGTAGATTATATTTCTAAATTGGTTGTCCTCATGACAAACATTTATGTCTACTGATTGAAATTAATTCTAATAAAATCAACTTCATAATTTGTAATGCTTTTTACAAACTGAACTTCTCTTACGCATTTTTTTGTTCCTGTTAAATTTCTACAAAGCTGTAATAATGTGTGCCCAGGTGAGTTCTTATTTATGGATCTTTGCAACAAAAACAAAAAAAATCTATACAGACAAGATACATTTGCTTTCATCTCATAATTACCGTAATAACTGTGAACTGTAAAAAGCCTTCACTTGATTGTAGAACTGTTCAAATTTCTGAGAGCTACGACTTGTAAAAGTTTTAAAAAAAAAAGTTTCGTAAAACGTTTTTTTGCATAGTCAAAAAATAATTTTTATTTTTCACTTTAGGAGCTCCCTACACTGGTGTAATTAATCATCCTCCCTTAAAGCAGATAAACTGCATTTCTATAGTTTACACTGGTGTATGTCTAGCGTTTCCTGTTCACTCCCTTTAGTCACCATATACTAGTTGACCAATTTCTATTTGTTGATGTTTCTCTAAGGTTCAAGAAAAAAAAAATACTACAATGAAGTAAAGATAAAACTATCATCAAAGCAGAAATGTGTGTTTCAAAGATCACTTGGATCCATTCCACACACTTTGAATGTGTTCTTATCTGATGGTTGACCTCGTAAAGGAACAATTTTTTACGAATCAAACAAACCCTCAAGCTCTGAAAAAGAAAGTTAATGGGAATTCCTTTTTTACGTCAACAAATCTCAAAAATGAGTGACGCTGACAGCGCAATACCTCAGTGTTATTTTTACATTGCCCAGTGATTTCGAATTGTACATTTTGCCCAATAAAACAATAAGCGTTAAAGTGATAGTTCACCCGTCATCATTTACTCGCCCTCATGTTGTTCCAAACCTGTACTGTCTATAAGAAAGGCCTATTTTTTTAGAGATTTTGTTTTTTCTTCAAAACGTTTGGTTTCCAACATTTTTCAAAATATCTTCTTTTGAGTTCCACAGAAGAACGAAACTGGTTTGGACCAACACGAGTGTGAATAAATGATTACATAAGTTTAATTTTTGGGTGTACACCTTTTATTGATTGTTAGTTTAATATTATTCATCGATTAAAGATGGCATTATAGTGAAATTAACAGTACATTGATAGTAGAATTTTAATATGGGTAAGACTGTTACTTAATAGCTGATGTGCAGCTCATGTTCAGGACAGATCCCACAAACATCCACGTTACAGCCTTTCAAAATCAATCTTATCACTGGGATCTTAATGGTGTTTCTGCCGGAACAGATGATTGCTTTGCTCACAGGCTCATAGATCCTATACTGTAAACATCCTTCATCACTCAAATTGAACCTCTTCACAATAATGGAATTAGTATGATTCCCCTCCATAATTTAAACCTGATTCCAAACTGGTATTTGGTATAAAATATATGATCTGTAATGATCAGAATCTCAGACCCTGAAATGATCAGTATGGATGGACATTTTTTGAACGCACTGTTTCTTGGGGTGCAACCGAATTACAAGCTGCCAAAACGTTGGGGACCCCTGTGAGCAAAGAAACAATACAGCTTTTGATATGAGATCAGGAAACACCACAAAGGAAAATAAATGCTTTCATTACTTTTAAGGAGAAGGGGAATTTCTCCCTCTCTTCTACATATGTTCTTGGTTTGATTCCTCGGACAAACCTCTGCCCCTGGACATAATGAACTTCAGATGTCAAAGACAGGCAAACAATGGAAGCTCCACTGGACCCAATCAGGAGGTTCTTCAGGGTTTCTCCTGAGAATTGTTCCTCCTACAAGTCCTTTTCTCTCCTCCACTCTTTCTTCCTTTCCTGCCGTCCCCTTTCCGTAGCCTATACATGGAGGTTTAAACTCCCAGGGTGAACATTATTTCTCTAATGCATATAGGGCCCCTGTTTTTTTCTTCACTTTCAGCCTTCAAAACATCACAAGCTGCACTTTCTCATAACCTGTCCGGGCCAGATCAATACGAATGAGTCTCCCTTTGCTGTAAACAAACAAAAGTGCCAAAGACAAGGGAAACAGCTTTATTTCTCACAGATTTGTACATTATGATATGGATAGTGCCAGACATGGGTATCATGGACGTGATAGTTCCATGAAGAACTTTTAACGTTCATTGAACCTTTCCGTTGCACAAAAGGGTGTTTAGATTATTGAAATGTTATTTAAACGAATGGAAAATGTTCTTTTAAGAACTGTTCATTGAAATGTTCTTTGGGGAACCAAAAAATAGTTCAGTAACACTTTAGTAAATCTCACAATTAACTTGCTAATTAACGTGCATTTTACTAGGATTTGGCGTGTTTATTCATTCTTATAAAGCACATATTAATGCCTTATTCTGCGCTATTATATTCTAGGAAAATAAATATTTGAACACCCTGCTATTTTGCAAGTTCTCCCAATTAGAAATCATGGAGGGGTCTGATATTGTCATATTTGTATGATACAGCTGCAAATAATTATTTGAACACCTGTCTATCAGCTAGAATTCTGACCCTCACAGATCTCAAATGTCCACCTCCACTCCATTTATTATCCTAAATTAGATGCACCTGTTTGAGGTCGTTAGCTGCATAAAGACACCTGTCCACCCCATACAATCAGTAAGAATCCAACTACTAACATGGCCAAGACCAAAGAGCCGTTCAAAGACACTAGAGACAAAATTGTACACCTCCACGAGGCCGGAAAGAGCTACAGGGAAATTGCCAAGCAGCTTGGTGAAAAAAAGGTCCACTGTTGGAGTTAGAAAATGGAAGAAGCTAAACATGACTGTCAATCTCCCTCGGACTGGGGCTCCATGCAAGATCTCACCTCGTGGGGTCTCAATGATCCTACGAAAGGAGAGAAATCAGCCCAGAACTACACGGGAGGAGCTGGTCACCCAGATAGCAAACTGACATTGAATCAATGTGGAAACGACGTCTCTCATGACATTGAAACAACGTTGATTTGCTCATCGAATTAACGTTGAACCAACGTCAGACGCGGCATTCTTCAAAGCTAAATGAAATCGAAAATTGGTTTGCTTTCATAACGTTGAAACAACGCGTTGATTTCAAGTTGATTTTCCGTTAGTTTTAAAAGAATGACGCATCTGACGTTGGTTCAACGTTAATTCGATGAGCAAAACAATGTCAGATCAACGTTGTTTCGATGTCATATTTCCACGTTGATTCAATGTCAGTCTGCTATCTGGGCAATGACCTGAAAAGAGCTGAGAACGTTTCCAAGGTTACTGTTGGTAATACACTAAGACGTCATGGTTTGAAATCATGCATCGTATGGAAGGTTCCCCAGCACATGTCAAGGCCCGTCTTAAGTTTGCCAATGACCATTTGGATGATCCAGAGGAGTCATGGGAGAAAGTCATTTGGTCAGATGAGACCAAAATTGATTTTTTGGTCATAATTCCACTAAACGTGTTTGGAGGAAGAAGAATGATGAGTACCATCTCAAGAACACCTTATTCTAACACCCCATGCTTCACAGCAGGGATGGTAGCGTCATGCTTTGGGGGTGTTTTTCTTTACATGGGACAAGGCAACTGCATTGTATTGAGAAGAGGATGACTGGGGCCATGTATTGTGAGATTTTGGGGAACAACCTCCTTCCCTCAGTTAGAGCATTGAAGATGGGTCGAGGCTGGGTCTTCCAACATGACAATGACCCGCAGCACACAGCAAGGATAACCAAGGAGTAGCCCTGTAAGAAGCATATCAAGGTTCTGGCGTGGCCTAGCCAGTTTCCAAACCTAAACCCAATAGAGAATCTTTGGAGGGAGCTCAAACTCTGTGTTTCTCAGCGACAGCCCAGAAACCTGACTGATCTAGAGAAGATGTGTGTGGAGGAGTGGGCCAAAATCCCTCCTGCAGTGTGTGCAAACCTGGTGAAAAACTACAGGAAACATTTGACCTCTGTGACTGCAAACAAAGGCTACTGTACCAAATATTAACATTGATTTTCTCAGGTGTTCAAATACTTATTTGCAGCTGTATCATACAAATAAATAGTTAAAAAATCATTTTTTTTTGTTAGTATGTCTCTCACAGTGGACATGCACCTACGATGACAATTTCAGACCCCTCCATGATTTCTAAGTGGGAGAACTTGCAAAATAGCAGGGTGTTCAAATACTTATTTTCCTCACTGTACCATAACCCAATACCTTAAATGAACAACTACCTTACAAATTATTAATAACCAGTAATTAGGACTTTTGAGGCAAAAGTCATAGTTAATATAGTGAGAATAAGACTCTAATCTAAAGTGTGACCAATGGTTCATTTATAGCTGCGAAAACCTTTTGGAGCTTTCATTTTTGAGAGTGTATAATCAAGTTAGCATAATATATCCCAACACTAAGCCTTGATAGGTTTGTAGTTATTCGGATTGTGAAAGGTAAAAAAGACATTCAGACCAATCAAGCAAAAGTGATGATTATATGGGGCTTTTATGTAAGCCATTAAAGTTTTTGAGCAGAAATGCCAGTCTGGTTTACAGCACTCCACATATCACCCGACTTTTATCTTCCCTCAAGCACCAGTCATGTAGCTGTGGATGATCAGGGTAAATGTTCAGCAAAACCACACTGAACCACTGAATGTTCTGAGGCAATTTCCTAAACACACAGTTTTGGATAAATTAAGGGTATGAATACACGACAATGACGTTTACACGACAATGATGTAGGCTACTAAACACTGAAAAGTTTTTCCTTCGCTTTTTCCGCGTAAAGATGTGACGAGGTGAAATGGAGGAAATACACACCGGAAGCAAACTATGCTTTTTAAACTGGGGTTTTATTCTGACTGCTGTTATAGAGTAGTGACAGCGGTCCATAGGAGCACAATTAGACACATAAAAGTCTAATTGAGGAAAAAAGGAAGTAACTATTAAACTATTAAAAATAGATTTTCAACAATCCTTCAGCAATCACCACGAGGTTCACTCGTCGGACTCTCTGGTCATGCGCACACATCCAAAACCAGTGAATAGTACAGCGAGAAGAGAGAAATTTCCACGAAGGGGCCACGAA